TACCGATTAAAGGGCTAAGACTGAAAAAACAATCGTTCATTTGATTGTTTAAGGACTACCCTAATGTGAATATGTACAAGTATGCTTATAAGTATAAAGCAACTCATCAAAATTTTCAACTAAAATGTTGACGGAAATTGTGTACACAAAACATTAAAAGTCACTGCCGCAAAATGTGGCTAAACGATTGAAAGACCTGAAATGGTACTGTATGCGCGTATATTCCTTGCATACATACATACATACATATGTACTTATGTATGTACATAAATTCAAAATTTGTTGTTTTTGATGTGCTTCATCATTTGCAGGCGCGCCACCCAGCTGTCTATTGGACTGATGAGACCATTTAGGCAGAGTCAAAGTCTATATTGGTTGGTTGTCGGTTAGTTGGTTTGTTGGCAGCAGTTGACCAAAAGAGCCACTTCATTAAATTTGCATACATTAACAAAATACGAGTACTACATCAGCGTAAATGTCCGGGTCATTCGAGCTAACTTCGAGCAGAAGCGAATGCTTAGTTCCTGGCGTATACGCTTACATTGCCATATATGCGTATGTATGTATGTACGTACAAGTGCGGTAAATGCTCGCAATGCAGCAGCTGTGGCAAATGTGTGGCACGAACGCACATAAATATTCGTATATTTTCAAGTATGGTTGTACGTTGTACGGTTCATAAAGTTAACAATTTTCAATTAGAACATTTTTGGCTTCCAAAAGTATGGTATGCCGATTTTTATTTTATTTTTTTTTTCATGGTAGCACCCTACGTAAATTTTATATTGCGCACATTTGCGATGCGTGTTGGTGTTTGTTGGTGGTGTTTGCATAATATGTTTGTAACGACTTTTGTATGTTGCATAAACAAGAAGCCAAAAATAATTTACCGAAAAACAATTCTACAGACAGCAGCTGACAAAATGAAAATGAAAATGTCAGCCCGTCAGTACATCAGTCAGGCAGTCAGTTATTATGGCTGAAGAATGACTAAAAGGTTTTTGACAGTACAATGCTATTTCTTACGCCACTCTCTAACATTGGAAAATTTCCATAACCATACATATGTACATATGTATGTACATTAGAGTGGTCCAATTTTTGTATGGGGGAAAGAATATCATCATAGAAAACGGAGCACCCGCTTAGTTTACTTAGAAACGTTCAGTTTGGTACCAGCACCTCTTTCGGCGGGAGGAAAATTTTGGAAGATGCCGCAAACCGTACCTCGGTAAAATTTTTGTTTGGACCACTCTATTGTACATATGTAGATTTTGCATGAATCTAGGAATGTTTAGGTTCATTTTACATAAATTTATGTGGCATTTTTCCAGGATTTTGGCAAATAAATTTTAAATCGCCAACGATTTTTTTTTCTATGCATTAATGAAAGGGTTGTCAAATGATTGGAAATAGCCAAAATCTTTTCTTACTAATATTAGCTTCACCCTTTCAGTACCAAGGGAAACATGTTTCCCAAAGTGTTCACCGCTCACAAGGATGTTATATGGCTTTCAGCGGTTTTTTATTGTTCCCATAATTTTATCATATAATTTTAGGAAAAATATTTCAAAACAAGAATATCTACCGAAAATTGGGAAAAATACTTTTCCGAAAATTTTGAGGAAAAAAAATCTTTGATTTTGGTAAAAATACTTTTTGGGAAAACAAATGACTTTATCAATAGTAAATTAACTTACCTAACATTTGAAAAAAAAATTTTTCTGGAGAAAAATGTTTCTTACAAGATTTAGAAAATTTACCAAAAACCAAATTTTTTTTTGGAAAAAGAATTTTTTTTTAGTAAAAATAATAATTTTAATTGTGTTTCTTACTAAAATTAGAAACTTTTCTAAAAATAAAAAATAAAAATAAAAAAAAAGTAAAACAACTTTTTTGGGAAAACATTATTTGGGATATGATTAATGGTAGAATTTATTCTTCTTCGAATGAATATGTGTCAACCTACTTGCATTTATCCAATTAGTCACAAATTTTTGCCATATTAAGGCCCAGATAACTCAAAAGCTAGACCCTCTTGAATAATTTTAAGTTACCATTTGGATTCTTCAGAAAAAATCATAAAAATCTGGTGTAATTTAGCTAGAAAATTCTCACAAATTGACAGGGCACTCTAGTCTACATGTGCTTATATAAATAAATACATATATATTTGTACATTAATATGTCTGTCGTATGCTTCACAATGCTCACCGTGGCGTATGAGTAATGAAGCTGAAATGTAGAAAATATTTTCGTAAATTGTTTTCATTTGTGCACTCGTGCATATTAGACAAGCAAATACATCGGTAGGTAAGTGTAAATCCACAAAAAGTCTACTCTTCTCACACCCCCTTAACTAGCCTTACGGATGGGAAGATGGGAAATTAAAATATCAAATGGAGTGTAGACAGTGAAAGTTTTATAAAAAGCAGAAAAGCAGAGAGTTGTGCATAGATGCATGTCTTTGAGTAAGATTGGTATTTATATATACGAGTACTTCAAGTTCAATACCGTAAAATTGCGAATTCAAAATGGGAATGAAAATGCAAATAAATGTTAAATCGTTTGAATATTGACATGAAAAGTTAAACGAGAGAATAATAGGAATATTAAAGGATAGATGTATAGTGTAGTGTATTGATATTCTTGAAAAGCCCAGATAATACTTCATTACTACGTATTTATGTGTACATACACATATTTTTACTATTGGGCATATCAGAAGCATAATTTTAGAAAATTAGTGAAAAGAGGTAGAAGACTGTGAGCGGTGCGTTCTTAACACTAAGCGTTTCTTCATATTATTTTGCTAGAAATTTCCTACTTTTTAAGGCCACTATGAAGGACTAAGTAGAATTTTAGAGTAGATTTTGCATCATAAAATTTCAAAAAAAATGCCGGAATATCTGGAATGAAATACGATAAGTCATAACAGACCCTGAAAGTTTCCCAAAACATTGGACAGTGCCAATAAAAGCTAAGAAAACTCCAGAAAAACTATTAAAAATCTCCGGAAAAAATTAAAAACATTCACAACTCCGAACTTTATATATATTTTATGAAAATCTGTTAACACTAGGATGAGGAACTAAGTCTAAGCAGAACCATTTTGAGTTAAAAATATCTAAATCTTCTACGTACATATTTTGAGTCATCGATCTAAAACTCCATAACTTTCTTGCGGCAAAGCCTTAAGAGCGCAATAGTCAAAAATTTTGTTTAAGAAAGTAATATATATGTGCCAAAGGAATACTGTTTTTGTCGAAAAATTTAACATCTCGTGAGATTTGCTCACATGCACACACATATACATATGCAAACTCAAAAAAATTGGGCATGAGTAACTTATGCCTTGACTGTATTTTTCCAGCTGTTACTATTTATTTAATCAACTCCTTCACTTTCAGTAAAGCATAGATAAATAAGAAAGCACAACAAAATTTATCACTTACTAAGTGGAAATCACTTCGGGTAACAAGCAATGAACGCACCGCACCGCCTACGACTTTAAGCAGAGCCACTGACCTTAAAAATTTTGCGGATATTTGTTTCTTTCTTCCAACACACTATTGCCTCCAAAACTTTACCTGAATGCCAAAGAGCTTTGCCTCTGCAAAAACTAAGGCGTAAGACTTTCTTTAAATGCCACTAAATGATTGCATTGTCCAGAGCTGCAGCGACAGCCTAACAACGACACTTCGAGGAACAGAACTCACCGAATTCACTTCAAACGAATGCGGTATTGTACTCTTCAGTTACTAATACATGCACAGCTATGTATGTTTATTGGGGAGTGAGACCACTTTAATACCCACCAGCCTAGTGGCTTCTATATACAAATATGCACACATACACACATGCTACTTAAGTGCGCCATCGCCGGCAAAGTCAAACAATTTTTCTGTTTATTTTCACTTTTATTTCTCACTTTACAGTCTTGCAACCACTATTCCAAGTGCAGTCGCAGTCACTTCCGCCGAACTGTGACTAAACCGCAGTCGTGTAAAAACAAGTAAACTTAAAATGAGAACGGCGACGAGAACAAAAAACAAAAAATGTATTTGTTGGTGTGGCAACGACAAGCCTGTTCAGGTAAATGCCACACCATTTACCCACAGACGCCACGGCGAAGAGGCAAAAGGTAATGAATGACCGTGGTGATGGCGGCAGGCAGTGTCGTCTGGTTGAGTAAGAAAAACTTGCTGCTATGCATTTATACTTACCACTTTCCAACTCACTTCCAGCGCTCTCACAGGTATTCGTATTATATGCCATTGTGCTGCAGCTCGTTTGCTATGGTTTTTTGGTAATAAATTTCTATAGCCGGAAATTTATTCGCCCACAAATGTTTGGTTGTGTATTAAATACTACTGAAGCCGGGGTAAGCAAGCAGCAGCCAACAATAAGTTGTGAAAAGAGGGGGGTGGGGGGGGAAACAGTGAAAAACGGTGCAAGAAAAAGGCATTGCATGTAATACGGCTGCGGCGCGTCGACAAACAGCAGAAAGCAGTATAATGTGGAAAGGCACAAAAAATGAGTGGAAACAAAATCAAAGCATACTTTATAGCGCGTGAGACTGTGCTTAAGCTCGAACACTTCAATGTGGGCATTGGTTTTTTTTTGTTTTTTTTTTTTTGTTGTACCTTAGCGCCCATTTGAGGTTTCAGCTTTCGAAATTTTTCTCTGCATTTTTAACTCTTCCAAACCATGAAAAAGTGCATTTTTGCGGCTTAACTGGGAACTTGCAAGGGCACACTCCACACTCTGCCCCTCACAGCTTTACTTATTCAACTTTGACCGAGTACTTTTTGGGTACTTTTCCAGCCTGTGGGCGTTAAGTTTTGAAGTTCGAGGATAATTTAAAATGCAAACAGGCTGATAAGTTAGCTTTAATACAAGCCAGCCGTAGCTTTATTTGGTTTTGTTTTTATGTTTGTTAGCACATTTTTGGGCGATTTGAATAATTTTTTTGCACAATTTCTTTGCATATTTTTCAGGTCAAACGCTTAACTATGGGCCTCTTGCGTACGAATGAGGAATCGCGCCCGCTGGTTGGTATCGCGACGCCCACAAATACGACAAACACAAACTTGCTGAACAACTCTAAGCTCGATAGTTCAACAAGCAATAAAATCTACTCGAATGATTACATTAATGAGGAAGCTTTTGAGCCGGAGAAGTTTATTGCAAGCAAATTTGGTGATTCATGTCGACAATCGTTGACGGCCATACCAATGTTGGACACTGTGAACCTGAACGACAACAGCGAGTTCAATTTGAAGAAGCGTTATTTGCGCGAGACGAGTAGTGGTGAGTGATATTTGTAATGCAATTTTTCGCAGATGAATTTTTCAACAACTATTTACTGTACTTAGCACCCAAATTTTTTTTTTGCTTTTGAGAAGAGACACATAAGAGCATAAAATTGTTAGTGTCGAGTATTTAGGAGGAGATGCAATTTTAAAATTTAATTTATTATGCAAATGCAACAAAAACTGTTTATTATTATTGAATTGATTGCTTACAACAAACATATGAATATTCTCCGCTGGTTCTCAAACCTTCGAAAAATTTCTAATTCTCAAGTTCTAAATAATACAGAGACACTTCTGAGACAGATTTATATGGATGCCAGGCTATTTCAATATTGCAGAAAATCGCCTGCTCAATGAGACATGCTGTGGTCGATGTGAGCGACCCCTGACTACATATGGGCTACTCTTGAGCAGATGGGCCTCGTGTCAGCTCAGCGAATGCTGGGCGAAAACAAGAAAATTTTCCTCTGTATGGTTTTCTGCCTGAAGGAAGATCGGAAGCGGTCAATTTATGCCCTTAGGCTTACAAACCCGCAGCTCTCAATTCTGGTGGGCATATTGACAAGACACTGCCCTATCGGAGTTCTTGGAAGATGACGAAATTAAATGCCTAGACTTTTGAAGACTGCAATTCAAACTCCTAGTATCGGGAAGGTCATCTGCGAAACTGCTTTTCTGACACCTCTGGTCCCTTTTCATGGACTTTGACAAAAATGGAAAATACAATTTTTCAAAAAAAAATGTAACTCCTATACTCAAACCCTTGCAAGCATTAAAACTACTAAGCCAAACACTTCATGGAATACTTATGTATGAATTTTTTATTTATTTGTTTTTCTTTGAATCACAGCAAACTCCAGTCCGAAAATATTCGCAAATCGCCTGCGCGCAAATACCCTCTCGGCGGCTATTCGTTCCAACACCACCTCCAACTCCTACACAAATACTAACATTGCCACCGCCAGCGATGTCGTCCTAGATGATGATGCCGATGAAGCTGATCTCAAAGATGCCTCTTGGTTTCAGGCTGGAATTTCTCGGAACATTGCTGTCGAAGTGCTTAACAATAAGAGTCCTGGTGCCTTTTTAGTGCGCAAAAGCACTTCTAAGCCGGGTTGTTATGCCTTAACGCTGCGTGCGCCATCGCCACCCGGACCAAAAACTGCCAACTATATAATATTGCGGACGACACGAGGCTTTAAAATCA